CAGACATGAAGCATAAGATGCAGCGCAAGCACAACTCGCAAAGTGAACGGAACATGCCGCATGGACCCAGCATCCCCCTGTTTGCAGCTGCCACCAGCGGTCAGTCGAGCTGAGACAGCCGGGAGAAGCAGTAAGGAAACGGAGTGCCCAAGAGGAGGCGGAAGAACCCAAGAACCCATGAGCCAAAAGTCCCCAGGGCATCCCGCGCTTGGTTGTCTTGGTCAGACGGAGATGGCCTGGACCAGACGGCCCGGCGGGACCCAAAGGGAGTCGGAGAAGTGGCCGGATCGAGGACGGACTGTTCCGACCAGACCACAAACGACAAGCTCACGATGCTCGGCCGGGGCCGATGCAACGGAAAATGCACGGCAAAGCGGAGAGGAAAGTGACTCCCGGAGGGACGGCAAGCCAGCCGTCTTGCACATCCAAGCAAGAGCTTTCAACGGAGCTTGTGCGCTCGCCCTCTACGCAAGCCAATCAGGCACGAAACCGGGCGGCGGAGCAGCGGGATGAAACCCAGAAACTTCGCAATGACGGCACCAAGACACCCATTGATCGAAGTAGTGCTCGAAAGTGGACGGAGCATTGCTGGCAATGGCACGGGCCATGTGAGCCTCCGGATCCAAGGAAGCTTGGCAGTCAACAAACAAAGCAGAGGCCACGGAACGGAGGCCGGAGCCAGCAGCTGAACAGGTGCACGAACCCTGGTAGCAAAAAAGCCGACCGTCTGCGAGGGCACGACGGGAGGAGAACGATGAGCGGGCAGGGTGCCCTTTGGGACCGGAGGAGCAGGTGCCGGAGCGGAGGCCGGTGTCCGGTGTAGGAATAAACCGCGACATAGCCGACGACACCTGGTCTGCTGATTGCTGACTCGAAGCACCGCACTCTATCCGGCTTCATTTTCGGCGTCGCTTGCGAAGGTTGCTTCCCCTTTCTTTGACAAAAAATGTGGTGTCTCCGTCCGTTCGGTCCTGGACTTCTCTCCTTCCTTCCGCTGCTTGTTGGGCTCCGCCCTCTGGTCATGTGGAGGACGGCGCGGGTCTCTGCAGTGAAGCGACTTCCTTTCTTTGCGAAAGGCCTGGGCATCGCGGCTGCTTGATTCTGGACTTCTGCTGTCATTGCGCACTCTAGCACCGCTTGCTTTCTGGATCCAAGTCCGATCCCGCCGCGCCCGAAGAGCTTGAGCCTTTCCTCTCCGATGTCCGCGCATTCTTGCATGCGGCTTCCGATGCCACTGGCAATCTCTCCTCAGGGTCCTTCCGGCTGACTCGGCTCAGAATCCGCACTGCAAGGTGACGCACCCTCCGTCGACCCAGCACAAATCCCTTGCTTCTGGCTCACGCGAATCCACTTGGAACTCCGCGATTGACAAGCAGATAAATGTCTCGCATCCGACGTCCGAAGGTTGGGCTGCCCAAATCCCTGGCAGAGATGCGGAACACTGCAGCCGTTTTGTACGCCGTTTCTACGGTTGGCGAAGGCGAGGGAGTGGTGATCGCTGCGCCCGGCACCCCCCGTTCTGGATTCATCCTTTTGCGGAGTCACTTGGAATATGCACTTGCCAAGCGGCTCCGCCAATCCGTCCCCGTCTCTCATGGATGTGCGAGGGTGCCTTCCGCTCTCCGACTGTCTTGCTACCATATTACAGCCTTACAGTCCTTGATGTTGCCACAAAGCACACCGTTGGACTCTTACTCCGCCGGCAAGATCGCTTCGCCTTTTTCGGCACTCGGGCTACCTCATCCTACCGGGTCCGTTCCACGGGTCTCGTCCGGTTGCTCAAGCGTCTGGTCCGCGTCCGTCATTCCAGCCATATTTATGTTGACGACATTCTTTCTCTCGACTGCTTCTCCATCCGCCTCGACCTGCCAAGTTAAGGTTCTCCTGCGTTCTCTCTTGTCTTGCCGTGAGCGCTCGGTGCCGGATTTCGAGCGTGCCATGCGTGCCACCGGGAAGCTGCTTTGCTTATCCTCCCTGTTGACATGCTTCCTTCCGTCCCTTCCTCGCTCCACTTTATGCTGGAGGTGTGGGAACGCCTACGCTCGTCCGTGGATGCCAGTCTGATCATTGTCCGACCCATTGATTGGCATCTCGGCTCCTTTGCTAGGGTCCAAGTTGCTACGCCGCTACACGTCGGCCAAAATTCCTCTTGCAACGCGATGAAACTTGACATGCGTCGTCCCATCGTCCGTCTCTCCGACACCTCCAACGAAGCGCTGAGGATGTGGTTGGACTTGGCATTTGCCGTTTGCGAAATTCGCTCACTGCCCCTGCCGCCATAGCTTCACTGTTGTTTCGCCTGTGCTGATGAAACGTCAGCTCGGAGGGAGGGCTTCGTCCGTCTTCCGGGCTCACGCCAACTGTTTTTCCAGTGCCATCTCAGCCACACGGAGCTCTGTTGTGCTTTGTTTGCCTGGCTCCTGCCCGACTGTTGTGTTGAGTCTTTCGTTGGCACCTGGAAGTTTGCTGCTCAAAGGGCGTTGCTGTCTGCTCCACTCTTTCCTAGGCGAGGGGCACCTTCCTTGTCATGCCGCCTTCCGCTCCGAGCCTCGCTCGGTTTCGGAGTTGGCTTCGTGGAAGGGCCTGTCCAGTATCAGGAACGGTGTCGTATTTTCGGTCCATGCTGACCATGTGTCCAGTACTTCTAAAAACATTGCCGATAGCCCAAGTGGTGGTTCGGACTCGGCGTTTGTTTGGTCTTCAGCCAAATGAATGCTTCCCCGTGGACTGGTCTCTTCTTTCCGACCGTGCGAGGCTTCGACTTTCGCCATCACCGGAGGCGTTTGGAGGCCACCTGGGTTCCTTGAGCCTCTGTGTCTCGACCGTTGCTTGACGTGTCTTTTGGGGCGGTTCCCCAGTTCGGGTCAAGCATGTGCGGCTCGATCATTTTTGGTGCGACCGCCACAAAGGAAGCCGGTTCTGGTTTCCGCTCTACCGAGTTTGCTTCACAGACTGCGGACTTTCAAGCATCCGCACAAACAGACGGGGTGCCTCTGTCCGCTCTTTTTGTGCACCACCAACTTGACTTTCAGGAAACGGACAAGTCCGCCCGAACAGCAACGTCTGTGGACCCCGAGTGGGCCATGCACCCTTGCCACCGACCTCCTTGATGGCAGCAGCGGTGTCGGCGCAGACGCCGAAACGCCCTACGATTCCTGATTGGCATCTTTGGCCTCCGCTATCGTGCAAGCAAGAACCGGTTCTCGGCGCCGCCTCGGCCCGATGCGTTCGGGCCTCGGAGAGGAACTGAGAGGATTTATGGCACCAAGAACCGGTCGCCTCGGTGCTCCGGCTTAAGGAGACGTTTTAAGAACCGCGTACACAATCCGCACCCGCAGGCGGAGCCACCTCGATCGTTGCTGGCCCGCCGCCCGGACGGGGTTGCCGCTGTGCAGGTCGCGCAAGTTGGTCGCAGCGGCACCGGACGGATCACCGGAGACGGGCTCGCCGGGCGGGGTCGGCTCGATATCACCTTGCATTGGGTCAGTCATCGCCGGCTTCGGAAGGGCGAAATGGCTGTAAAGGTCGGCGAATGTGCTGCCAACGAGATCGCACGTGCGCATGAGCTTTTTGGGCGGGGCATCGCGCAACGTGGTGAGCAGACGGGCGTCGTCATAGGTCAGCAGCTCCGCGAATAAATCCACCCGAGCACAGAAAGATCGCAAAAAGCTTGAGGCGCGAGCGCTGCAGCAACAACAACGGCTCAGAGACAAAGGCAATTCAGCGGAGACAGGTGCAGCATGACAGCAAGGCAGGTACAGTCCTCGGCTAAGCCATCACCATCCGCGGGACGGGAGAGCAACCAACCAGCCGAGCCACCAACGGTATGTCTGATCGATGCTCTGTGCTTCCCTCACTGCTGAGCACCGGGCATGACAGGTCGATGAATCGAGCCTATGACTGTTGGGTGCTGCGAACTAGTAAACGGCACCGGCAAACTGTCTCGTAGTCAAGATCTGCCAAGCTGGCGAAGCGAACATCCGCAAAACATGAAAAGGCCATCTCTCGCACACCACATTTTCTGCCCACGGCAGCTTAGAGCCGACGCTGGCTTTGCCTCACTGCGCAGGTCGCATCATTGGCGCCTTGCGCGCACTTTGGCCGGGGGCAACTACGCCAATTCAGATCACAACAGATTCCCAATGGCCGGTCTAAGTATTCCACGCCCAGGCAATCCTTCTCTTGATCTGCTTCAGCTCGATGCACTTTTTCGAAGCTCTTGACTTAGTCCAGAAGCTAGCTCTCTGGGTGAAACTGGGTCGGAATGTTGAATCTGGCAGGAATCGTGAACACAGCGCCGTGAAGTCTCGATGCAAAACAGAACACAGTTGGAACTGCGACGAGTGTAGAACTCAAGCAGACATCGCCCCGTCATTGACCGGCCTGCGGCGTGCTGAACACACGGAAACTGCCTGGTGGTCTTGTCTTTGCCCTATCTGCTAGCAATATGCTTTGCAGAAGTACGGCCGCCAAAACAAAGTTCTACCGAGCACCGCTAGGTGGCATCAGCACGGAAGTTTGCGAAATGCGATCGTACATGTAAAAATTCTCATTGCGCATGATCGTCGTTTCGGCCAGCGTGTGTTACGTGATACTTGTATGTCCCCAAGGTCTCCTCTGACTCTAATGCATACGCAGCCCTCTAGATGAGTTTCAGCAGTTACAGTTGGCCCTGCCGGCATTAACCACGTAGAGACGATGCAGTGGGTACCAACCGGCTCCCAAGCCCTAACTCAACTGTGAAAGCAAAACCACTGGTCCTCTCCCGTGGCAGGGCAGAAGACATGTTCTGTCGGAGTAGAAGAAAACTTAGACTTGCCCGGGAAGACTACTGAAGTCCTTTACACGATTGCTTTCCAGGATTTCGACGCCCACTTTGAATCGGTGGCCACCTCTGTCGTCCGAGTCCGCAAGTTTTAAATTTCCCCAAGGTTTTTTAGAAGTGTGCATCAGCCCAAGCAAAACCGACCTCCTTTCGCTGGACCCACAATGACCTCACGCTAGCAGGCACTCCCGTGATCCCCGAGTCCAATCACTGGTCCAACCGGGATTTTAGTCATCGTTGGCCACCACTCCCGTTTCGAAAAGACACCGACTGTTTTAAGAATGACATCTTGGAAACTGGATCGGCCGCGGGCCGCGGGCTGCGCCTTTGAAAGCTCGGCCGAGGCCGGGCCTCGAAAGCGCGAGCACCGGACAGGGGGCCCGGGGCATCCGGGGCGCGATCGCGGGCGCGGAACTTGGGACTTGGCCATTCCGGACGTGGCAAGTACGAGGAGGCTGATGCCTCGAGCTCGAGATGCGAGAGCAAATGACGACTCCACGTTGCTGCTCCGAAGGCCCCTACTCATAAAGCCACCAGCGAAAGAGAGCAGAAGATCCTTCATGTGAGTCGACTCCAGCTCCTGATGCTCACACGGCACACTCATTGTCACCTTCATCTTGGCATATGCAAAAGCCACGTCCTGCGATCTCTGGACCATGACTTCATACTCACCGGAGATCTGATCATTGTGCGATGGCAGAAGCAAACCTCCCCACCAAGATGGACGACAGCATGTAAGCCACGGACCGCATGGACCGTTAAGCCCGGCAAAGTTGGCACTGGCGTCAGTGGGGAGACCTGCGAACCAGCAGCATAACACCTGATTGCATCACCGCCCTCTCAACCTTGCATGCCCTGCATCTCCAGTAAGCGGTCTTGCTTGCAAGAGCGCAAAGCTAACGGACCGATTTTCATTTCCGCAAGCTACAGGAAGGGAGAATGAGTGCGGATCAACACCAAAAGAACCAGCTTCCTGTTGGCCGCTTTGCTTGGGCCTTCTTCCTTGAAACAACATTTTCTAGAACTATACTTTGTCAGCTCTCTGTAAGCAAGATCAAAGCTGCATTTCTCTACTTGCCTGCGGGTGCACCATGGGCGGCACGTTCACGAAGGCGGGGGCTGTGGGGGCTGGTCTTGTGGTCGTTGGTTGTAGCTGCTCCTGCACTCAGAATACTCGGAACTCGGCCTTTGCGAGTCTTGCCTTGCGAGAGTACGGGTCCTGCAGAGTCGGATATCCTCCATTCGACACCCCAGGTCCTGGTGGGATTCCACCTCACAGCGCGCTCGCTCGACCTCCCTCAGCTTTCCGCTCTGGCTCATTTGCTTTCGTCCCAGGTGCCTTGACCAGGGGCACCCGGACCTCCAGGCCTGGGAGGACGCAAAACACGGTCCTGCGCCCTGTATTCACTGTCGCCGACTGAGACCAATGCAAGAGCTCTGCACCAGCGTCATGCGACAGATGCAAGTATCTGCGGCGGCGCCGCTTACCTCCTCAAACCCGCAAGCAAACTAAGTTTCGTTGCAACGGTTGTAACTTGAGCAACATGGAGCAACACGCCCACCTCTTCCACATGTTTTACTGCAGTCGCCCCAGTCCTGTGGTGAGGCACCACAGCAGGTTCAAGTTCGGCGCCAATGAAGCCATTCAAAAAGCAGAGGGGAATAGGTCCGTGCCGACAAGTGTTTCAGACGAACCTTCAAACGCTTTGGTCTAAGTTGCATCGTCCTGCCATCCTGCCCATGTGCAGTACAAGTTGCCTGAGATCCGTGGGCAAAATGCCACTATGTCAAGACACGGCCAGCCAACCACCGCCAAGCAGCTGCTGCAGGACCTGGGACATTTGCCCACCTCGCACGGATATGCAATGTCTTGTAAAGATTTGTTGAACCGAGCTGAGCCTCGCGAACAGCCATGTGGTCACACGGCCTGCCCCCATTGGAAGCATATCCTGCCAGTGTTGCAAAGTGGCCACGGCTTTCTCCAATGGTAACAGCCGGGGATGATGCCCTGAACTTGTCAGTGACTTAATTAATGCAAGCAAGATATTCCCCTTTCTTGTGCCTCAGGTCTGAACTCCTGATGTCCTAGCCCCTGAGTAGCCTTGAGATTAGCACGTATCTGCAGCTGTCATGTGCTTCGCATATTCTCCGCCGCTCAGCGTATCTCATCTGAACTGTTCTAGCTACCATGTTTTCTTCATGTCGCGAGCCGTAGTCGTTGTCGCATCTCATGTCGTGATCTACCTGGCCCGACACGCTGCAATCTCAAGGGCCGGCCGGGTGTTTCGCCCAGCTTCGAAAGCCAGTCTGTTTTCAGCATGACGAGGGCGGTGGCACAACCACCAGTTGATTTCCGATCCCGGGGACATCCAGACCGTTGCTCCAGTTGCTGGCATAGATAGTTGTGAAGTTCTAGGACCCAGCTTACCGATTACAGTGTGAAAAGCCAACACAGATGTCAGTGCCCGGAAAACCCTTCATTGTCGAAGCTCTAGCTTGAGGCTGCGACGCAGGATCGTCCGAAAGCGAGATCTTTCTCCATCACACTTGCTACCTCAAGCAAGCCGTGCTGAAACGTTTCATGCATAACCATGCAGATGTGGCCTGGCTCTTCTAAGCTCCCCGCACAAGCCCCACTCTTGCCATTGCCCAACTTCACAATCGACCGGCAAGTTTCCACCGCTGCACAGGTGGCGATTCTCAGCATCAATGAGAATTCAGAGCATACGACTGAGGAACACTCCAAAGGGCTTAGATACATGTCTGGGGTGGCCACGCACTCGTGCACTTCCGAGAGGGCCGCCAAGCACCCACGCCCCCCGTGAGATGCGCCTGTCCAGGATCACATCGATTTCTGCTGTGCCGTCCGTATCGTCCGTTCAGATCCGAGGGCTCCGAGGGCTCCGCGCTGCACAACGACGCGAGTGCGTCTCTGCACGCCCCCATCACAAACTGCCGTGCACCTGAGGAACACGTGCGGGTGCAAAGGGCGATGTTGCATGCCTCGAGAAGTGTCGCCTGCTCCAGTGCGCCCACCTCGGTTCAACGCTTTCATTTCACAGTTTCGTGCTACGGCACAAACACAGACTTGGAGCAATGCTGGCCAACAACGCAATCAACAGGATGATCTTTTCGACAGCCCTGCATGGCATTCTCTGAATATGGTCATATATGGTCTCAGATGCGAACCTGTTCTTCACGCATATGACGACAATCCAAAAGAAGCAACAACAGCAGCAGTAGCACTAGCAGTAGCAATCGTGGGTAGGACGTGAGAGGTGGGAGGCAGCAGCCGTCGGTAGTGGGTCGTTAAAGGTTTTGAGTAGTAGGTGTGGAAGGTAGTGGCAATAATTGCGCGACGGTAGGAATAGTAGCAGCATGGGGAGTAGTAGTAGCAGCAGCAGTAGTAACAGCAGCAGCATCAGCAGTTGCAGTAGCAAGAGCATAAAGTCATAGTACTAGTAGTAGTGCTAGTGGTAGTACTCGTGGTAGTACTAGTAATAGTAACAGTGATAATAATACTTCGAAAAAAGGTGAGAGTGATAGCAATAGCCCTAGTCATCGTAATAGTATTAGTAGTAGTAGCAGCAGCAGCAGCAGTGGTGGTGGTAGTAGTAGTATAGTAGTAGTAGTAGTAGTAGTAGTAGTAGTAGTAGTAGTAGTAGTAGTAGTAGTAGTAGTAGTAGTAGTAGTAGTAGTGGTGGTAGTGGTAGTGGTAGTGGTAGTGGTAGTGGTAGTGGTAGTGGTAGTGGTAGTGGTAGTGGTAGTGGTAGTGGTAGTGGTAGTGGTAGTGGTAGTGGGAGCGGTAGCGGTAGTGGAGCGGGAGCGGTAGCGGTAGCGGTAGCGGTAGGGGTATAGGTAGTGGTGGCGGTAGCGGTAGCGGTAGCGGTAGCGGTAGCGGCAGCGGCAGCGGCAGCGGTAGCGGTAGCGGTAGCGGCAGCGGTAGCGGTAGGGGTAGGGGTCGGGGTCGGGGGTCGGGGGTCGGGGGTCGGGGGTCGGGGGTCGAAAGTCGTTGGGGGTCGGGGTTGGGGTAGGGGTAGGGGTAGGGGGGGTGGGGGCAGGGGTAGTAGGGGTAGTAGGGGTAGTAGAGGTAGTAGAGGGAGGGGTCGGGGTCGGGGTAGGGGTAGGGGTAGGGGTAGTGGTAGTGGTAGTGGTAGTGGTAGTGGTAGTGGTCGTGGCCGTGGTCGTGGTAGTGGTAGTGGTAGTGGTAGTCGTCGTAGTAGTAGTAACAGTCGTCGTCGTAGCAGTAGCAGTAGCAGTAGCAGTAGCAGTAGCAGTAGCAGTAGCAGTAGCAGTAGCAGTAGCAGTAGCAGTAGCAGTAGCAGTAGCAGTAGCAGTAGCATAGCAGTAGCAGTAGCAGTAGCAGTAGCAGTAGCAGTAGCAGTAGCAGTAGCAGTAGCAGTAGCAGTAGCAGTAGCAGTAGCAGTAGCAGTAGCAGTAGTAGTAGTAGTAGTAGTAGTAGAAGTAGTAGTAGCAATAGTAACAGTAACCTGTCAACACAGAAGGAGTAACAGTTAAGAGTAATAGTGAAAGCAATAATCGTCGCAGTCGTCCTCGTAATCGTCATAGCAAGAGTTAATAAGAGTTATAGAAATACTAGAAGTAATAGTAGTGGTAATAGTACTAGTAATAGCAACAGCATGGCAAGTAGGCTAAAACAGAACTTTCGCAGAAACAAACGAACTTTTGTGGCACCATCGCGGAACTTTTGCGAAGGCATAGTTATCTATGCAGTTGGCCGCCCATATAAATTATTGCACGAGGAGCTTTAGATCAACTACCATATGTCAAAACATGCCAGTCGACGGGAGGCGGATGGTGGCCAAACTTGGGATTGCACGGACGCAACCTGAATCAGCAAAAACCTGCATATCGAGCCCTTCCAGAAGCCCGCTTGTCAGTTTCACTGACACTGAGTTCGACTCTCTTTCGTTGCACCGCTGCACCAACTTCCATGTCCCAAACCGAAGTGTTTCACCTGGTTGGTTTTCGGCCATCCGATAATCAGCAGCATCTAGCATTCCACTATCCGGCGAAACGGCTAAGTGCCGTGCGGACCGAGCTCGCTCTTGCATGCCTTCACTTCTGCAATCTTTTCAGTTTTCAAAACATGGAAATCTTTTCACCTCGAACCTGCCTAGACAGCGCAACAGCATGTGTACATGGCTGGCCGAATATGCAAACTTCGCTTTCAAGTGCATGAATTTCACTGGGACCCTTCCGTCGGATGCGTGTAAAGACGAAGTGCTCCTTGCTAGCTGTAGATGGTAATTAACTGCCTTTTTTCCGAGCTCAGGGCCATCGCAGTGATCGCTGCAAGGACCCCAAGCGCTCCATCTCAGCTCAAAGCCGGGCTGCGGACTCATGCGTCTGGAAAAGGCAGCGTGCTAGACCAGATCCAAGCGACAGTCCAAAAACGCAGTCACGGTTCGGAACCTGACAGCACGCTTGCAATCATACCACTGGTGAAGCAAGCAATGTCTGAGGGCGCGACACATGCGGTAGAAACTTCACAGATTCTTGTTTCGGTGCTCAAGCCCGCTGGGAAGTCGCCTCTGGCAGAAGACTCTCTTTCTACACGCCCGTAGACCTGCCTGAGGCTGGTGCCACATTCACTTGCAGACTTGGCCACTTGTCGCCTCACGTCATAGGGACCACGCACCACATTCGGAGGCCTTTTTGGCAGTCCAAAATCAGGGATCGCACGTTCGGAAAGTTGTTCCTCTGTCGCAAGAAACGGAACATGGCGACCAGTCCTTGTCAAGAGGTTTCAGGGTGGACATCGTACGACTCTAGAAGCCTTTCACGCCACATATGGTTCATTCCGTTTACGAATCCTTCCCTTCCTGGTCTCTGACTACCGGTCGCTTTCTGGCCTCTCAAGCTGAAGGCCTCCGGAAGCTTCCGTTAATAGCACAATGGCCAGCAGACTGTGCTCTGGTACCAAAACATCTTTGGCAAGCAAAGTTTGCAATGCGCTGCACCAAACGAAGCAGCACCCCCCAGTTAAGGCACAGGCTGACCAGTGGCTCCAGTATCCATTTGTGCAGTCTGGCGCGCTGCACCTGAGAAAACTGCATTGTGGTGAGCTGCAGAAGGAGACTGTCGACAGAGTAGGCGACGTGTGGGTGTTGCAGGGCTCGATGGTCTCTTTGATTTCAGCATCACACTGCCTTCGAAAAACTGTAAGAATACGAAAAGGTCCCAAAGGTCTTTCAGCTGGCCCTTCGGCCTTCCGTGCTTCGAAGGAACCTGAGCTGCAAAGGGACCCTGCACGCTTATCACGATCTGTCCCGTGAGTTCACCGACATGTCCAGATGTATCAATATGTCCCGTTCTTAGTCACTCTGCCACTATGCTGAATTGTTTCGGTGTCTAGCTGGCTCTAGCTGATTCTTTGTTGAAACTCCCGAGAATTATGGTTCACTATCTTGCATCTCGGGTCTGCGCGGCCTGCCGAGGTAAACCGAAGGAGGCAACATGTCGGGCGCAGTGAAAGACGGAGGGCCGGACAGGGCCTTGTGGGGGTTGGGGAGGTTTGGGGGGGACGAGGTTGACCAACACGTCTGCATTTGGATAAATTGCGTTTTTGCCCTCTCAGAAGCTGGCTCTGAGATGTTCTGAGGATTTGTGAAGCTTGTGCTTTCTGCCCGGATCTCCTTGGGCTCTGACACCAAATCTGGTGCTTGGCTGTTGGAAGATTCGTTCGTTCTATTCAGTGCCGCAGTTTTGGGAAATCCTGCCCCAAAGCTTCCCAGCTGCCACGATACAGGTTCTGACGCACAGCTGCGGAAGATCCCAACACTCATGCAGGCTGGCACAGGCTTTCACCACGACCACCAGAATTTCAGCGACAAGATTGGGCGCTGAAAGAGGCTCGGTAATCCACTCAGAAACGCTCGGCAATAGCCAACGCAAACCAAGCGCGAGTGCACCCTGGATGTGAAAGCAAGCACACCATGGAAGCAGAAGAAGCAAGATGCCTCAGACGTTACACTGAATTTGTGCAATTCAGACTGATGACACGTTTAGAAACAAACTCAGAACCTCGGGCCGCAGCCTTCGTACGAAAAGGTTAAGGCGTTGTTCTGCTGGTAGCTGCTTTTCTCTTGCGCGTCTTGTCTTGGATGTGCCATTTGAGCATCGTCGGCATAGCGGAGTCGTTTGCTTCACACATTTTGAACAGTGAGAAACTCTGAGAAAAACTCCAAACCTAACTCCCGGCCGAGAGTGCACTTCAACACCGCACACACGGCACTTGAAGCACAAAACCAAGGGTGTACTTCGCACACTTTCCAAGCTAAGGTGCAAATCCCTGAGCTTTCCTGTATCACATGAGTAAGGCCTGGGCTTTAAGGATGTGCCGCTTTCGGGACCGAATGCCCCCATCCTCAGCAGAGCGCTCTCAGCTTCCCATCATCTCACCCACCTCTGAGATCCTGACGCAAGAACGCGAGCAGTAGCTCCAGGCAGCCCATTCACCCCATACCTTGCACTTCGATGACATGCGCACAACGAGCGATGAGCCGATGCGGGCTGAGCTTGTGGCACAGTCCCTTTCAGCACATTCCACCTGGCTGGAGCAGGCCTGGCCCAAGTTCCACAAAATGGACATGAACTCCTATGTCCAGACTCCAGACATGACCAAGGATATGCCACCTGAACCTCTCCGAGTGCTTCGTAACAGCCATGCCCATCAACACCACGCAAGCCGACAATCTTTCGGCCTCGAAACAAAGGCGATACGTGCAGCATGCAGCAACTTGCGATGCATCCCTGACTACCGCACGAGGAACCTGCGATTGAAAACTGAGTTCACAACTGCGTGTGCGTTGTCCCACTCCGCATGTCGTGGAGCAGAATCCCCAGGACTCCCATTCTGGACAGGGCATGCACTGAGTTACTGTTGCACCTGCACTGCAGCGGGGAACCCACAAACACTGAAGCCAATCTGCTTCGCATAGCTATCCCTCAAGTCTAAGAATATTCATCGGTTTTGGAGTTGGCTGGACTCATCCAGTGTTAATTGTTCGTAGTATGACTGACATTTCCGCTGCATTCATAGTAGTGAGTGGGTGAGTGCATGCATGCGTGCGTGGGCGGGTGGGTGGGTGAGTGAGTGAGTCGCCCCTTGGCGAAAGGACGGGCACCCGCGTGCTCTACCCAAACGGGGCGCAGTGCTCCGAAAACGTCATGGCCCCACACGCGGCAGAGCGAGCAACCGGCATCACCTGAATCTCCATGGGCCCGCCCCCCAAGCCGGCAGAGGCAAGCTAACAAGGGTTCGAAGCACACTCGGCAAAGCAGCCCCCCAAAACGGTTCCCGACATGATCTCTCGTGAAGGTACTAAGCCAGGGATGCCGGCACGAAGCAAAGACTCTCGCACTACTTCCATGTTACCAGAAGCCACCTCAGCCATGGCCAATGAAAGAGGCCATCCCCTGCCAACCGAGAAAAGTGTGGCCAACCCTCAAGGAGGGTAAGCAGCAGCAGTAGCAGTAGCAGCAGCAGTAGCAGTAGTAGTCGTAGTCGTAATCGTAGTCGTTGCAGTAGCAGTAGCAGTGGCAGTGGCAAGTAGCAGTAGAGTAGAGTAGTAGTAGTATAGTAGTAGTAGTAGTAGTAGTAGTGGTAGTAGTGGTAGTGGTAGTGGTAGTGGGTAGTGGTAGTGGTAGTGGTATGGGTAGTGGTAGTAGTACTAGTAGTAGTAGTAGTAGTAGTAGTAGAAGTAGAAGTAGTAGTAGTAGTAGTCGTGGTAGTAGTAGTGGTAGTAGTGGTATATATGTATATAGTAGTGGTAGTAGTCGTGGTAGTAGTAGTAGTAGTAGTAGTAGTAGTAGTAGTAGCAGTAGCAATAGCAAATAGTGGTAGTAGTAGCAGCAGTAGTAATATAGAGTAGTAGTACTAGTAGTAGTAGTAGTAGTAGTAGTAGTAGTAGTAGTAGTAGTAGTAGTAGTAGTAGTAGTGGTAGCAGCAGTAGTAGCAGTAGCAGTAGCAGTAGCAGTAGCAGTAGTAGTAGTAGTACTACTACTACTACTACTACTACTACTACGTGCAGTAGTAGTAGTAGTAGTAGCAGCAGCAGCAGCAGTAGTAGTCGTAGTAGTAGTCGTCGTCGTAGTAGTCGCAGCAGCAGTAGCAGTAGCAATACTCACTCACTCGGACGCCGCACCGTTCGATCCGGAGCGTTGCGCGGACAGGCTCGCCAGCCCGGCAGCTCATAGGCCGCACCGTATGTATTACACGGTCCCGTATAACTAAGCAGGACTTAGTCCATGGCATCGAGGATCAGTCGACAATCGAACGTAATGGAAGGAGTCGAGAGTCCAGCTTCATCATCAGCGTGATCTTCCCTATGTACAGGCCTGGTACACGAGCTGAGAGAGGTAGAGATGCTTGACGCACGAACGGGGAGATCAGTTCCAGCTGACCCCGCCGTGTCGTACGCCGTAAAAGACATATCAACATCAGCAGCAGTGCAGGTCATCTGAGAGTCGATCGTCACAGCGGTCCCAATAGTCGCACCACCCGGAAGCTCATTGCCATGCTCCGCAGCCGAGACGGCGGAGGGTCCATTCGATGAAGAAGGCTCGACCTGAGGGGCCATAGCATCGCCATGCACCTGCATCGGGCGACTCATGCGTGCTTGTCCTGCTTGCTGTCCTCTGCAGCGCCGCGTGTGAAGGGTTCCACGTGAAGGCCGACACGTAGAGCAGCATGTATCATGTACACCAGAAGAAGGCAGCCCGCACCCAGCAGTATTGCACTCCCTAGAGCCTAAACCAAAAGAACGAAACAACAAACGCTGTTGCCGATTGCAGCGCCTGGAGTGGCCCCCACCATTTCGGCAGTCACGGCAGCAGTGTCGGTGGCAGCCATCGTCCAAGAAGCTACGCCCGCAGTCCAGTGCAGCGCAGGTGCGCAAATCAATGCCAGCCTCAGCAGCAGCACGTGTGCGTGCATTGCCAAAGTCACGCGTGGAGGCCATGAGCTGCGAAGCGGGCGTGACCTGAGCAGTGCCACACAACGCCACCCGTCGCTGCACGAGAGAAGCAGGTTTCGCTAGACACCCGAGACAGCCTCTACAGCTGCTAGCGGTCGCAACGGCAAACACGCAAGTACTCTGCTATTTGTCTCGCACGGGTGCAGCAGCATGGCGCGCGGCTACAGTGCTTGTGAACGCACCATTCGATGCGCATGCACGGCACAGCAACACAGCAGCCTTCCCCCAGAAAGGAGCGCATTCACGTGGAGAATGCGGCAAAGCAAGCAGCAGACTGGTTGTGTACAGGCAGTCCGGCTGAAATGCAAAGTCAAACCCCGAAAAAGCCCCTAGAGCCACCGGCAGAATACCTAGGCATGCTCAGGCAGAACGAACCCCAGCTCATGAAGAAACTCGGCAGTACCGCTCAGAAGGCGGTGGGAGTTCTGAATAGAGTACGCCACCAGAATAGCACGGCAGCCACCCTGCCAGTCACACGTGGCATGGAAATGATCCTGACCTGAAAAGAGGACACCACTGGCTGAGGTTTGGTAGAGGCAGCCAGCATACATGCGGCCTTCAATCTCGCAATAGTGTCGGCCCCCTTCCTGCACCACCCAAAGGTGGTGGCCCTCGGAGTAGTGCCCAAATCCTATCAGCAAGCTGGGAGTGCCGGCATTGTGGCGATCCACGTGCGGATGAGCGTTATTGTCCACGCTGACCATCAAGGACGTCCAGCGACGTCGCCCGCACACCGAGATCACCGCTGCGTTAAGCAGCACGCAGGCAGCCTGCAAATGCTGAGTATGCCGGCTGAGGCCAAGGATGCCGCCTTTGCGATACGCGCCCAGGGTGATGCTGTAGCCATCCGCAAAGTCCCGGTTGTGAGGGCAGAGCGGCAACATGGTAATAACCTGTCGCACGGCAACCCACAATGCTCCCGTCCCCTCCCTCAGATGATTCTCGGCACACTGTTCCGCCTCCCAGCGGTTGTCACCTGGGGCACGTGGAGGAAGCGGGTACGAGATACGTGTGCAGCCCACGATGCTCTCGGAGAGCGCGTCAGCGTAATCCAGGTAACTGGCCCTAGCGCCGCTCGGCAGAGCATCAAGCGCAAACTTGATAATGTCATTGCGGCCAGCCAGAGACAGAGCCTTACCCTCGGCCTCGGTGACTGCCCTTGGCGCCAGCGTGTAGAAGGCCGTCAAAAGGAGATATTCCTCAAGGGCTGCAAGGCGCATGTGATCAGGGAGCTCCAGTGATTGGGCCATGGCAGTCGACCCCCTTCGCAGCTAAGGGCTTCCCCTATCGCACTATTAGTGTACACACACTGAGGCACTGGAGACGCGTCGCCCAAGCAGACCGAAAGTGAAGGTCGCAGGTCCGGGGCAGCAATGCACACAATAGGAGTGGCTGAGGCACGGACCCCGGGCACGGCCAGTGCGCACGGTCCCTACTCCAAAAAGACTGAACCAACGTAGCCTCGATCTATACAGCATGGGACCCAAGTCAAGCACATGCAAACTCGCAGAAAAACTCGCGTATGCGGAAAGGTGGCAGCTGCACAAGCCCCCCACCACACAGAGGAAATGAAAAGTGCAAAACGCGACGGATGGCGACTTTTAGAACGGCTCAGGCCGACTGTGCCATCCTCGAGACTGCGCTTCAGCAGCCTGTGCATGCAGCCCATGAGCAGTGTCACAGGCACACTCGGATAAGGTCAACTAGATAGGCATTACGGGCGATGTGTTCCAAATCCGCCGGAGCGGCACTTCTCGGCACCCTACGGTCATCACAGATGCAAAACCGCCATTCCGAGTTAGCTTCGGGGCCTACTGGTGTGCAAAGAGCAGCTTGGTAGTGCCAGCCAACGAGAGAGCTCTGAGGGCCATTCGCCCTTGGAGGTTTTAGCCAGCATGGAGGCCTGTGTAGGCGTAGCCGTCGATGCAGGCGGCAGGGGTCCCAGGTAGCCTCCGTCGGGGTCGAATGTCGGTAGGCCCTCATGCACAGTAGCCGGCATCTCCAACGTTGTTTTGAGAAGCAGTCTCGTCGGCTTCGCAGAAGTCGCCCCGAAGTTATCCAGGTGCAGGGCAACGGAGCGTAGCCCCTGGCTAGCCAATTGGCTACGCGCAGGCCACTGCCACATGCTAGCCGGTCGTTGCCCTTTGTGGGGGCCCGCGGGCATAGCCCCAAGGTCTTCGGGTTGCTCCAAGACGAAGAAGGTAGCCGAGCTGAGGGCCGCACTAGCTATTTCAAAAGAAAAATCAGCAAAAATGTTGCCAAGGATAGCCCGTCCACGTGGTTCGGCAAGGCTACGTACTGGCCTTGGACCTTTGAAATTAGCCCAAGAGGAGCGTGAAAAGGTAGCCACCGGGGGTGAAATAGCCACGATATCGTAGGCGCCAGATTGGACCAGCCGAAGGTATTTAGCCCTCGATTTCGATGTCGCCAGGTCGGTTGAAGGGGATCTAGCCAGATCCACACAGCAAATCTCCAAGTCGACCCCGAAGTTGGAGGCTAGCCGACGGAGATGGCTTTGAAAGCTCCCTTGTCTCTCCCTGCCAGAGAAAAGGTACAGTACTTGTAGCCGTCGGGCGGTCGTAGCCGAAGGCGGAGTAGCCGAGGCAGGCGCCACTGGCGTAGGCTGAGCAAGTCAGTTAGCCGCAGTGGACGGAGTAGCCGCGCCGGGGCAGTTGATCGCCGAGCGCTGGCCGCGGCACTTCGTACAGACATGTACGAAGTGACATTTATCCCCCTTCTTACAGCCGCTCTTCAAATTAAACCGAAAACAAATCGGCTTATTATCCTCAGTGCGGTGAAAGGTGCCGACCTTAGCCTTCTTGTTGCTATCCTTGCCGTCCTTGCCCTTGCCCTTGCCTTTGCCCTTCTTGTTGGGAGGCTTATCCGGCTGCGTGTTATCCCACGACCAGGGCTGCGGCCGCTTGGCACAAAGTGCTAGCGGGGTTGTGAAGTGGCGCTCCTTCGTAGCCGCATCCTTCCAGGACTGGACTAGCGCGTCAGCGAAGCCTATCCCCTTGAGGACCATTTGCTTGTAGGTCTGCTTCCGGATAGCGTTCTCGTAGGATAGCACCAAGGTCCAAGGCGGAGCTAGGGAACCGCTAGCATCGTTGGAACGTAGCCCATTGAAGCTCGCCGAAAACTTGGCAATCGTGTCTATCCGGGCTTTGAACAAAGTAGCCTGGGAAGTATCCGGGACCCTATTCTGGGTAAGAAGGTAGCGGAAATCAGTGGAGCCTTTTGCTAGCTCCGCTGGATCAGGAACCGAAGCCATGCCGGTGCCTAGCTCGTGCAGAGCTAGCCGGTTGTCCAGCTAGGGTCGTGTCTTGAAATTGAAAGCTCTAGCGTCCGTGGGTGCAGCTTAGCCCCCCCACACCAGCCCCCCCGACTAGCCCTCGAAAGACTTCCATCTCCCAGAAAATTTAGCCGGTCTCTCGCTTCTTTCTGGCTGCAGAAAGGACACACTAGCCGACATGTGCAAGGCCGATGCGTTCTCCTTCATTTCTCTTCTAGCCGTGCGTCAGGGGTCTTCTAGCCATCCTTTCGTGCTCTAGCCTGGGCCTTTTCGGCCCCTGCCCGCACCCTTTCGGTAGCCCGGGCCCGGTCGGCAATCATTGCGCGTGTGGCCTCTCTCGCCGTGCGTATCCAGGCAATACCACATCCTTTTGTTGCATTGCTCTATCCCGCACTGGTCGCAAACAACTATACATCTAAAGATAGCCCCGGCTGGATCCCAGCGGCCTACACCAGGAGTAGCCCCATGGGGTCGGCATTGTATCCATCCCTGTTCGGGGATCCTATCCACTAGCCGCAGGGCACTATCCGCTTTGTTGCTAACCGCGATGTAGTCGTCATCGGTCAGCTGTTGTAGCCAAGGCGGATCGTGTATCCCGCCCTTGCGGGCCTGTCGCCCTCTATCCGGCAACGGCGCAAGTGCTCTATCCCGGCGGTCGCCCCTCTCGTAGCTGTTGAGGGGCCAGTTACCATGCCGCCGTCCGGGCCCCAAGGTCGCCCTTTGGCTTGACTAGCCGTCGGCGGGGGCGCCATTAGCCGATGCACGACCTCTGGCTCTTCCCGGATCAGCTGGGGGGTCGGCCTATCCAAGTTGATGTTAGCCGCGGCACCTGGCTGGAGTGCCGCTCTGTCTGGCGCTACCGGCCGTCTTCGGCCATAGCCTCTTGTAGCGGCCCGCTCCTAGCCGTCTATCCACCGCATGGTCGGACTGCGGGTGGACATAGCCGTCCTTGCCTCGCCCCTTCGACTCGCTCTTAGCCTGGGGGCGGATAGCTGGGAAGGGATCGTAGCCTGGCTCGCCCGGTCCCGGAGGTCGGCGCCGTGGCCTATCCTCTGTGTTCTCCGGCTCGTTCGGGTCTAGCTCTTATCCGGTAGATCTGCTCCATCCTAGCCACATGTGGTCCCCGATAGCCTTGCATGCATCTAGCCAGGAAGGTCTTCTTGCTCTCGCCGGGCCGCGGAAATTCCGTGCTCGACCTTGGCCTCTCCGAGCTATCCGTTGCTGCGTGCCAGGCCCGGGTTGTCCCCCTGGACGAAGCCGATCTGAAATCGGTGCTAGCGAAAGACTTCTCGATAGAGCCAGAAAGTTCCTTGGTGAACAGGGCGCTAGCGGCTGCCTTTGTGGTAGCCTGGAGAGCGGCCCAGGCTCGCACCCGCGAACAGGCGGATAGAGAGGCGGCTAGCGAAGTCCGGGAATGGGCGAAACCCATCCCACAAACAGAGTACATGGCTATGCGCCAGGCCTTTGCACAAAAGTTTGGCGAGCCCGAGGCCCGAGGATAAGCACATTCCTGCAAAGGAATACATTGAGCGAAAGCTTCACGAGCTAGAAACGGGCGAGTTCAGGGCGGAGCCCTTGAATGAGGTGCTATCCAAAGACGAGATTGATCCGGATGTGCTAGTTCCGCAATGGGATAGCAAAGGCACCGCCCTCATGCTCAAGAAGGCTACCTCGAAAGGGGCTATGCCATCGGGCCCAGAGCAGCTTCGTCTCCAGTGATGCAGAATGCCCTTCTCATGATAGGCTTGCAGCACCCCGGGCGTGCCGAGCTGAAGGATATCGACTTCCAGCTCTTTGAGAAATACAAGGATTACTTGCTGGGCGAAGCGGGAGGAGCAGGAGGAGCAGGAGGAGCAGCAGGAGCAGCAGGAGCAGCAGGAGCAGCAGGAGCAGCAGGAGCAGCAGCAGGAGCAGCAGCAGGAGCAGCAGCAGGAGCAGCAGCAGGAGCAGCAGCAGGAGCAGCAGCAGAGCAGCAGCAGCAGCAGGAGCAGCAGGAGCAGCAGGAGCAGCAGGAGCAGCAGAGCAGCAGGAGCAGCAGGAGCAGCAGCAGGCAGCAGCAGCAGGCAGCAGGAGCAGCAGGAGCAGCAGCAGGAGCAGGAGCAGGAGCAGGAAAAGGAGCAGGAGCAGGAGCAGCACCAGGAGCAGTAGCAGTAGCAGTAGCAGTAGCAGTAGCAGTAGCAGTAGCAGTAGCAGTAGCAGCAGCAGTAGCAGTAGCAGTATAGCAGTAGCAGTAGCAGTAGCAGTAGTAGCAGTAGTAGTAGTAGTAGTAGTAGTAGTAGTAGTAGTAGTAGTAGTAGTAGTAGTAGCACGGCCGTAGCCCTAGGTTTGCCCCGCGGAGCTTTCCTTACATAGGCAGCGAGGTACAAAATACGTGGCAGGCGCAGTACTTTCGAGGGTTGGAGGGTTCTGATGGCAGGAGACGATTTCCGTGTAAAATTTAAAACTTTACGCGCAAATTGGTGCTTGCTGCGACAGCCGAAACCTCATAATACGTGGCCAGCGCAAGACTTTTGAGACTTCTCGGCAAGTAGCAGGGCTCAAGACGCGCGGCCTTTTTTTGGCTATGCTACCGCCGTAGAGCACGACGGCAAGTGCAAAATACGTGGCAGGCGCAGTACTTTCGAGGGTTCTCAGAGTCTGATGGCAGGAGATGATTTCCGCGACAAATCACAAATTTGTCGCGCACGTTGGTCTCTGGCGCGGGGGCCGGAACCGCATAATACGTGGCCAGCGCAGTACTTTGGAGACTTTGAGGCAGGCAGCAGTGCTTGAGCCGCAGGGCCGTTTTTTGGCCAGGTTGTTTTTGCTCGCGCGCGTTCGTCTCTGCCGCGGGGGCCGAAACCGCATAATACGTGGCCAGCGCAGTACTTTGGAGACTTTGAAGCAGGCAGCACTGCTCGAGCCGCAGGGCCGTTTTTTGGCCAGGTTCTTTTTCGCAGTGCGCACTGTAAGCAAACT